AGCTACCTAATTCTCAGCAATTCCATTGTTCGTCTTTCGTAAGGAGCAAACCCAGCAACTTCACGAATCAGTTCACGAACAATTTTACTCCTTTTGGTTATACGTCCTTTACGTCTACTTTGGCGCATTTTCCTTTGATTTTTCGTTACCTACAAAAGTTAAACAAGACTTACAAAACTAGAGCGAATTCTATTGTGCTAAATAATGAATGCGATATTCAAATTAGAAAAAAACAAAAAACAAACAAAGGAACCTTGTAACCAGTATTAAGACCCACAGCAACTGCTTCAACTGCGACCATTTCTTTTCCTAAAAAAGAGTTAAAAAAATAATTCGAGCTAATCAGCTACAAGCACGTTCTTTACATCCACAAAAAAATATAAATATTGTAGAATTGCTGGACGGACAACAATCACACACCGAGAAAACACAAAATAAATAAGTTTTATTTGCTGATGAAAGCAGCTCCGCTGTAAAAGCAAAAATATCTGGAAAACGTTTTACATTAGCATACTAAAAAGTATGCAAGATGTGGATTGAAAATGGGAGAAGCAAAAAGTATACATGTAACACATGGCACATACTCGCAATCATAAAATGATGTATATACAAAATGTATTTACAAATATTTGACAATCAGAATATTTTCAATTCCAATAAACAGAAGAACCAATCACACAATTACCTATTTTAATTACTAATAAGTTTCAAGTTTACAGAGACAAGAAAAAAATTACACACAACAAAACTTTCATTTAAAATAATATTTAATTACCGAGTTTAATAGAGAATATTAACATCAAAATATATACATTTTGAAGCAGCATATGAGATTCACCAACAAAATTTCAACATTAAGTTTACAGGCTACTTCCAAAATTTTTCAGTGCTACTGAAATATAAATCCATGGAATTAAAACCTAAATTTGAATTCACTGATATTTACATTCCAAAACCTTGATAACAAATAGAAAAAAGACTCTATATATAGTACAATAAAACCAGCTCTAATAAGTAGAATTTCACGTCTACAATCACTTCAAATTTGAAGGTAAGATCCCAATGGCAATATACTGCAGTAGTAGATGGCCAACTGATTAATTAAAGAAAAATGAAAAGTTAATTTCACTCAGTAGAACTTCTGGTTCCACTATGTCCAGTTCTAAGATCCATATTTCGCATCGGCGAACGCGAATGATCATCACGAAGCGATATTCTATTCTTCTTTACCATACTTGTTTGTACAGTCTTACATCCAATTGATTTTAGTAAATTAGAAAGGCCGGATGTTATGTAGTTCGTAGTCGCTATTGAGGGACCAAATATATGAACGTAAGGGTGCGATCTTTGTTTATAGTTGCCTGCTTCTACCTGAAATAATTTTCATAAACAATAACGCATACAGCATTTTTTTGCTGTATGCGTTATTGTAAAAGCTAAAATTCAAGCTTCACTAAGACAGATAAGAATTTTCAATCCAATTACTAACCAAAAAACTGCTTATGATGCAAAATGGGAATAGAGCGCCAAACAGAAATGCATTCAACACCATATTATCCGTAAGGCTAGTAAAAAGAGTAAGCACAGTGCCATAGCCCAAGAAGTATGGCCAGTTACGTTCAATAAGATTAATGCGTGCTCGTAATCCAATTCCAAGCGACATCCATAAGTATTCAAAACTAAAAAAAAATGTTAGATCGGATACATCCATACTTGAAACAAATTTTCAGATCACGAATACTTTTCTGAAACGATCCGGTTATCATCTCGATCAATTATAAACATTATTTATATTCAACATTACTGCAGAGAATAACTTTGCTGAGCTTAAGAACACTTAGAAATAAAGGTTATCACTGGCAAATGATTATCATACACTCACACCGAATACTGAAAGTGACACCCGAAATGAGACATACATTCGTTATTAAATTCATGTGTACATTCCTTGTTTGTCAAATACAAAAAAGACGAACCTGAATAAGGAATTAAGCAAAGTCATGTGAATAAAAGTAAACACTGAAGAGACAAGGGGTACTGGAATATTGCTGACGAATAGTGATTGCAAGAAAAAAACAAAATCGAGAAGCATCGAAGAACAAAAATCACCGGTCGTTCGACTGAAATTTTACGAAATGTAATTTTGTAATTTTCGTATTTCAGTATTGCAGTTCAAAACAACATTCAATCTATTTACTAAATAATCTACAATTAACAGTTGCAAAATCCAACACTGAGCCAAAATGACTTGCGTAGAATGGACCATAACGAGTGTGCGAAGTCTTCAAACACAAAAGAACAACTAATCATACCTCAGGGATAGACTTGGAGTGTGGACACCCGTGTACTTTAGTGAAGCGTTTGCAATATCAGAAGACCATATACTGTTGCATACTCGTGAAATGATCAAAGCGGACAAACAAAATAACCCATGAAGCAATCGAAGAAATGTAGATGTCTGTTTTGGCATTGTTACATATAATACAGAGATAAGTATCATGTTCAGAATAAGCGAACACATAAGTCTGAAAGTCGATTAAACCTTACTCTTATTCACAAAATTCTTTTTCCTTTATCTCTTTTATCGAGATACTATAACTCGCTGTCAATCAAGGAAAGTTATACAATTACCCAGTAATTGCTTTTGGCTTTGCAACCATTTCAACATTACGTTTTTCTTTTGCTGAACTAGCAAGTCGTCTCTGTTGGAGCACAGTAGTCATTTTCGGACGCAACAGTTCTCTTTGCTTATTCTCCATTTTCCTGCGTTCTCCATCTGATATCTGATCCAATTTATGGATTACCTGAAATCATTATTTAACAAAACTAAAGTTTCTTATCCAACCAGATAAAGAATGATGACAAAAGGTTAATTGTAAAGCTACCTGACCGATTCATCCCAAAATGTTTAAATAACAAAACAGAAATATATAACTCATATCTACGAAAAATAACTTTTTCTTCTCACTCTCCTTTTTTCTCTTTGATATATCAAGAACACTAAGATCTAGCAAAATAAAGCATTATGTGTAATCTGCAACTCAATAACATCTACACATTTAAATGCATCGATGTGCATGCGTCCACAGATATAATTAATTTCGCTTTTCAGTACTCACAGTGCAACATAATGGAGCTGCACGGCGCATGTTGGAAAAGCAAATTGCAGTGATCTAATGTTGTGCCTAAAAAAAGTCTTTATGAACAATATAGAGAAATTTGTATCTAAAATACATCCATATACCATTAGTTGCATTGCTACTAATTAATTCCTTTAAATTTTCATGAATCAGTATATTATACTTAGGGAACAGAAAAAGTCCACTTTACACACTAGAAATCTTTTTCCTGTACACCGGAGAATCTCCACTGTCACTATACGATAAATGCGAAACGAACATATCTAGTGCTGAACTTTTCCTCTGATCGCGAAAGATACTCAAAGTCAATACACTGTAGCATAAAAATCCGTCGTAAAAACTTACGAAAAGACTTTTCAGCGAATCTCGTAGACCATATAAATAATCACAGATACATGCCGGCAAACCCATATTTGTCCAATAACCCTGCCCCGTAGCACCAGGGCACGTTCTCCAGTGCAGGTAAGCTGCTTACCCGCACATCAGTGATTACTTCCACCGCACATTAGTGATTACTTCCACCACACCTGAAACTATTCATAGATAAAATATCAATAAGTCAGTGAAATGACCAGATAAATTATAATATAACGTAACATTCTAATTACTACTGATCGATCAAACACTTCTGATAGCCACTGATAAGATAATTCTAGTAATTAAAGTCTGAAATGAAAATAACTACACCAAAATCATCCATCATTTCATCAAATCTATTCCCACTCAGTCATTTATCCACCTCCTTGCCTACATTATACACAAATGAACAATCAGAATCGGGTTTGGAGACGAATGGCCAAAAATCGATAAATACGTCCTATTTTCTTCGTCATGCCTGCCCCTCATCTGTCACACACTCTCTGTCAATTTTTCTGCTCGTCTAACTTTCCCCCAAAAATCATATAAATATTTTCCAACAACTTCCTACCCTTCCTGGCAAGAAGCCATATTTTTTCATCCTGCAAACTTCAAGCAAACGTTATACGATTATTTGTCAATAGCAAATGCAATTTTGGGAAAAAGAGAATAATTTTTCGCTTTGCTATTTTTGTTCTATTTTTAAATACATTTAGTAATTAATTAAATTCATTTATAACGAGGAAAAAACGAGCCAAATTGTTATTAAATCCGGGAATTTTCCACGTATTTTTGCTGTCCCTCAAAGTATTATCGCTCGAAGATTGTTGTAAGTCGCATGTAGTCGAGTTTTCTGACCTATCATCGGATAAATTTACTTTTGTACTTTAGTGAAGGTGGGGAGTGTGCGCTAAGTTTATGGGTGGTCGGGAGTATGTGCTACGTGGGCGGTTGCACGTACGTACGTGAGTGGTGTGCATTCCATATGAGTAGCACCACTGAGAAGCATCACCTTACTTAACTCAGTAGGAAGACTTAAAAAAGTTTTGCTTTATTATTTTGTCCTTTTTTTCTGTTTTTAAATGCATTCAGTAATTAATTAGATTTATTAGTAACAAAAAAAAAAAGTGGACAAGCCAAATTGCTAACAAATTCAGGCATTTTTCATATATTTGTATTCTCAATAGGAAGATAATGCACATTTGATTATATTTGTGAAATTTAAATAATGTAAAATTGTTGAATAATGACATAACATATACTTTAAGATGATGCATGCTGGGAGGAAATATGTTTACAATATAATGTCTTTTTGCTTTAGTAAAATCTTTATTAATGCTCTGGTAAAGTTAATTATTTAGAAGCAGTGATATTTGTTAAACTGCTCCACATTGACTTCGAGTGTATATTATATTTTATGGTGTATTATACTGTAGTCCTGCTGGAACAGTTAGTGTTTTTTTGAACAGTTAGTAAATGTATTTTCAGCATAGGAAACTCAAGATGCCGCCGCGGAAGGGTAAAGTTAAGGAGGACCAACCAGTGGTTACATTAGGACCGCAGGCTAAGGAAGGCGAAAATATATTTGGTGTGGCGCATATTTTTGCATCCTTCAATGATACCTTCGTTCATGTCACTGATTTATCTGGTCAGTTGTTAATTCTCTTCATGTTCGCTACTACACGAATAAAAAAGCGTGCGCTATCACTTGGGTTTTTTTGGGATTTCCGACTATTTTGTATGCAAATTGTAATGTTACCAATAATTGCTTGAAAGTTGCGTATATAAAGGTGACAATCTGGAGGACTGAAGTTCGCAGTTATCGGTTGCATTGTTCACTTTATCCTACTTTGTTTTAAAAACAGGCTGTGTGCAGTATCTCTAGATTAATTAAAATTTTCCTGTTCATGTCTCGTCGGGTTGGTAAGCAAAGTCTGTTTGATGCGCATTCATGTGTACTTCAGTTCAGTCCTCAATGGCGAACTGTGGAAGGGACGAATGCTAAATCACCATTTGGTGTATTTCTGATTGGCTCTTTGTATGCTTATTTCATTACAACATCAAATTACAGTTGTGTCACATCTTTCTAATATATTAGTTTATGGAAGGTTATGGTGTATAGAACTTCAACTGTTCTTATATAGCAAGTAGTTCACACTCTCTTAGTTCTCGGTGGTCAGTTATATGTATATCAGAAACCAATTTTCACCTTCTGCAAAACATTTGATTTAGGCCGAGAAACAATTGTGCGTGTAACTGGTGGTATGAAGGTGAAAGCAGATCGTGATGAAGCATCACCTTATGCTGCTATGCTGGCTGCACAGGATGTTGCTGAGCGTTGTAAAGCAGTAAGTTTATTTTTTGCTAAATATCTGTTAAATTCCTGTTAAATGGCGTTGAAAAGTAGTTCGGAGGTAAAGCTTATTTCGCATTAAAAAGCTTCGAAAGGTTAGTGAAAAGTTGCATTTTTATTCATGCGGCATTGACTGGAATTCGCAATCGACTACTTTAAAATATAACACTTTTGATAATAGATACCTAACTCGATTTCTTTGAATTATGTATATTTCCTACAACGATCAATGCCCAGTGATGTTTGAATTATCAGTTGCCTTTCTGAGTTATAAAGTCTCTGCTGATATAGTTTTCTGAGGGCTTCCATTAGTGTTTTATTTCTGCTGTTATTAACTTAATTGTATATGAACCTTTTTAGCTATCAATTAACGCTTTACATATCAAGTTGCGTGCAACAGGTGGAACAAAAACAAAAACTCCAGGACCAGGAGCGCAATCTGCACTTCGTGCATTGGCTCGTTCTGGTATTAAAATTGGGCGGATTGAAGATGTAACACCTATCCCAACGGATTGTACCAGACGTAAGGGTGGTCGTCGTGGTCGTCGTTTGTGAAATGTCAAAATTTATATTTTTTACAGTTTATGTGTAATTCAGTGTAATCCTATATAATCGGTTGTTACTATAGTTGATAAAGTTTATTGACCGTAATTTATTCTATTCGCAGTGAAACGCAATATTAGTTGAGAGGCTGATTGTTCTGTTGTCAGTTACAGTTAACAGATGGTATGCTTTATATGGTCCTTAACAGAAGGATATAGAAAAAAAGCATTCAGAAATAAACTATTGACATATTGAGAGGATTCATTAAAATAGATCATATTTGACGTTGTGGAGCGTTATTAGCAGTGTGTTATTTTCATTCCAATACATAATCAAGGCCTGTGCAAATATTTTTTACAAGGATGTATTAGTTATTGTGATCATTCAATTGTAACGCACTATTTCTATCAACAATTAAATGATGAATCAATGGAATATGCCATACAATATCCATTGAATTTGTAGTAAAAGCTAATAAAACAGATGGATATGATTTTAAAAAATAATATTTTGATTTACTGTACTGTAGTTATGCGCTATACTGTTTGTTTCATAGCTCTCTTACTATTATTATACATCCAAGAAGAATGCAATGGTTAGTATGTTCATTTTTGACTAAAAAATGAAAAAAAAAATTCTATTCTGTTCATTTAATTTGGATGAAAAATTGATGTAATAATTAAAATCAAAATTCTATCGATGGATAAATTAAAATTTGGAAATGATTGAAGTATGAAGTTAATTTTAATTAATCATTATTGGTACATGAAATAGTATGCAGAAAAAGAATAATGCATATTTGAGATTTTTCTAGAAATAGTTTTTTTCTAAAATTCCAATTTTTTCTTTTTTTTTTTTCTGGAATAATTCCATTTTATTGCAATCAATTCAGAAATTTTTTAGATTTTTTTCCAGGAAAAGAACAGATGAAAATATGTTTGGTGGGGAAAAAGAATTGAATATTTATTTGATTTTTGCAAGATGGAATAATTTTTATTGTTTTTTTTTTTTTTTTTTTTCATTCCATGTATAAATTTTTTAGGCATTGGTCGTTTATGTAAAAACGAAAAACAATGTTCAGATGGACAGTATTGTATTTGGGGAAAGTGCCTTTGTCTTAATGGGCAAATTCTCAGCAATAATAGATGTGTTATGGATTTTTACTGCCAAAATGGGCAAGAGGTGCTTTAACATTTCAAAATTTTAGAAAAAGAAAATTGACATTTTTTAAAATAAACTATCCAAAAGGAAAAAAAAGATAGGGAGAAAATAATTTATCATTAAAATGAGATAATAATTGCTCATATCAAACAATCAATCGAAAAATGTTATATTAAATTAGTACTAGCATACATTTAAATAAATTTATTATCATAACACTGTTTACAGTTATCACTGTGTTAAATATCATTATCACTATATTTTACATTTGCTTTGATCACATACATTAAACTGAGCTTAGATCCAAATAATTCATAATAATCTAAACTTATCAATAAAAAAAATTTTTGTACTTAAAATTACAGTCAAATATCCATCATTGTATTTATTGAAAAATGAATTTAACATTTTTAATGTAAGCATAATCTTAACATTTAATACAATCTTGATTATATTATCAAAAATTAATAATTTTCGCAATTCTTTTTCTAATTAACTTTTTGGACATATATTGTAGCAATTACTAATTAATATAGGAAAGAGAACTAATCAAACTTTTGAGCTTCATTTAAAAATCATAATGTCTTTTTATTTAATTAGCATATTAAAATTATGAATTGATTTCCTAATTTTATTCTAATTGTTCTACTATTACTACTACTGCTACTGCTATTGCTACTAATATTATTAAGGGTAGAATTAAAGGTGAAAACTTTTTGTTTATCAGAAATTGAAATTAAGGTTTATCACGATGGACAATGCTATCATCTATCAGCAATCGGTGAGAAATGTCTTATCAATGAGCAGTGCTACGGCGAATCATTCTGCATAAATAATTCTTGCACCTGTCTTCACGGTCTATCATTATCACATATCATTTAATTTAGCTTATATATATATTCTGGCTTATAAGTGTGGTAAATTTAAAAATGATCCTAAAATATAAAGCAAATCCTAAATTAAATCATCAAGTATTTATGTTTAAGTTCTAACACTTCAATTCTTTTTATGGATAATCAAATTATTATCAGTTAATATTTTTTAATAAAAGTGATAAGAACAGTATAATTTTCTACTATGCCAGTAGGTTAAATATTTGAATTTTTCAATGCGATACAAAGAAAAACAAGTAAAATATAAGCTAACCTTGAAGAACTTTCATCGATTTATCTATGAGATAGATAAGTTGATTTGATAAGAAAATGGTGATAAGCTAGTAAGATGCTATTGCATATCATCGAGGAGAATATGTTATTGTTGACCTATTTGTCAGATATATTTGCTAAGAAGTTCCGAAAAAAAAAAGTTCTAATTAGATTCAACTTTATATATATTTTACGAAATGACCGGAACAACCGTAATATATTATAATTGAATTATAACCGGAACAGTTGTAATATACTGTAGAAAGAAATCTACATTTTTGAATGTATTTTTTATCACATCTATAAAATAATATTAATCTATCAATCAAATTTTTCATTTTAAATAAATAATTAATTTGTGCTAGAAATTTTAAATTAGATTAAGATTTTGTAAAAAAAAAAAGAAATTTTAAGATTTAATTTTTATTTCTAAATTGAATTTTGCTACAGAAACAGTTAATGTGAATGGAATATGTCAAAAAAGAAATTTACGATCTATTCGTCAATGCAAAATTCATCAAATTTCTGTTCATGGAGAATGCTTAGATATTGTTGCAATTGGGGAAGTTTGTCAAATAGATGCGCAATGCTCTGATGGCGCTAATTGTTTCAATCAACATTGTTCGTGTCCGCCAGGAACTGTTCAAAATGAAAAAATGTTTCCTATTTACTTTTATTAAATTTTAAAATTAGAAAGTATTTGAATATTTTTAGAAAGCAGTTAAAAGTGTCGCATTATTTCAAAGTTAGATAAGAAAAGAGATGGCATCAGATAGGTATAATTGAAAGATTTGATTTTTTTTAGTAATTGATTGCACAATGATTTTATAATTTTGTGATAATTTTAATAGTAATAATAATAAAATAATGGTAATAATAATATAACAACAATTAATAATAATAATGATAATAATAGCAAGTATTAGTAATATATTTAAAAATTAATTTAAGAATTCAATTTTCCAGTAATTTTTTCATAAGCAATAAAAATTATATGTAAATAGTTCGGAAAAAAAGATTTTTTTTTTTTAAATTAATATTATTAATGCATTATAATGCTAAAAAAAAAAGATAAAATTTATTGTTTATCATTGCAAATGAAAGGATTTCATTTTCTTTTCCTTTTTTTTTTCTCAAAGCCTAATTTATTTAAAAAACTTTTTCTTTTCTTTTTTTTTTTTTTAAAAACTAATTTATTACAATTAATTATTAGAATTTGAGAAAACTTATATAATACAATTTTTGTTTACCCATTGCTACAATTTTAGTTTTATATTTTATAAAAATTTATTCAATAATTTTACAACTTTTCCTTTTTTTTTTTGCTGTTTAATTTTTATGTTATTATCAAATAAATGATAAATTAATAAAATTAATAGATGTAAAGCATCGAATTGCTCAAGAAATGAAGTATTAATTAATGGAAAATGCTTATCACTGATAATTCCCGGCCAACAGTGCAAGCACTCAGTGCAATGTTTGGATGGGTCACAGTGCTCGTCTGTGACACATATTTGTGGTTGTATTGAAGGAATGAATAATGTTGGCGGATACTGTCGGAAATTATCGTACACTGATCCATGTGATTCAATTTCAATGGTTTTATATTTACTTTCTTCTTTTTTTTTTTTGTCTTTTATTAATTAAAAGAAATTTAAATTTAAATATTTCAAAATAAATTTGAATAATTTGAAAATGAACACTAAATGAAAATGTATAGATATGATTAATTTGTAAGAAATATTAACGGTGTAATATGTTTTTTTCTCTCTCTCTCTCTTTTTTTTTTAAATGATTTAAAATATTATATGAAGCAAAAAAAAAAAGTCATATGAAGTTAAAAAAAAAAATAAAGCCATTAAATTAGATTAATTATTAAAAATATGAATAAAAAGATGATTTATAAGTCATTTTCACTTATTTATCATAAATGATCACTAAATGATAACGAAGTAATTTGATTTTAAAATAATTTATTGTTTTTGGAAATTTTTAAAAAAATTTTGATAGAAATTTTATAAACTAATATAAATGAAATAATAATAAGTGAAAATCACGTTGATAACAATAAATAATAAATAACAATAGTAATAATAATAATAATAATGATAATAATAGTGAATAATAAGAATAGTAATAATAATAATAATAATAATGATAATAATAATAATGATAATAATAGCGATAATAATAATTTAAGGTATACGTTAATAATAGCTGTGTAGAGATCACAAAACCAGGTGATCAATGTATTTATGATTTGCAATGTCTCAGTGGGTCTATTTGTACAGATGGCTACTGTAACTGTCCACAGGGTACTACAAATATTAATGGATACTGTACTGGATCTGTCTTATGTAATCAAGATGAAGTAATTTGTAGTTTTATTTTTTCCATTCATAAAATATTTTTGCTCAAATTATTCTGAAAAAAAAAAAGAAAGAAAATAAGTTTTTATTCTACAAAATAAATATACTTTAAATATATATTAGAATAGCTAAATTTTTATAATATTATTTTAAATTAAATTATTTTCAAAGATTATTTAAAATTAACAGATATTATTGAATAATCGTTGTTTCAAACGAGTTACACTCAATGAATTATGTTTTATAAATGAACAATGTCCCAATAATGCTATATGCAATTATGCAGCTCGATGTGTTTGTCCAGTTGGAATGATGGTATGTTTATTAATAACTAATT